GCGTGTCTGTGTGTGTGGGAGGCAGTGCTGTGGATCCGTCTGGCTGCGCGTGTGTGCGGTGTGTGTGTGCGGTGTGTGTGTGTGTGTGTGAGTGAGCCAGAGCTCGGCGTTTCTGGGGGAGGAGAGGGAAGCAAGAGAACGTGGGAATGTGGCTTTATCCGCTGTGTGGCACGCTCCCTGGATGAGTTTCCCGACAGACAGAGACACACACAGAGAGATGGAAAGAGAAGGATATGCACAAATGAATCATAAATAATCCCCCTTTATTGCTGCCTGATTTTCCCTTATCGGAAACCATTCATGTTTGCAATTGCTGGGGTTATTGAGGGTCGTAAAAAACGGATTCGATCTAAACAAGAAAGATAAAAAACAAAAGCAACACTGCAGGACCTGCAAGTATGGGAGGTTTCCCGACCTAGAGATAAACCTCGTGGCTATGAAAACACCCGAATATTGGAAATTTAACAAATTGCCTTAAAAATATCAAATTAAGTGTAGGCGGTGGTAACATGCATGTTAACAATTTCTCTTATGATAGATGGTTCAAATTAACTTCCAGGAAAGTGCATTAACGTTGCCTTTGAAGGGCTCTGGTCTGAGCCTCTGAGAACACTGCCGCCTTTTATTATTGTAACCTGCAAGGGGGAAACATATAAACACCCGGGACAGCAGGTAATGGGGGGAAATATAAACAAAGCCAGAAAGGCTGCTGGTGAGGAGCAGAGCTGCTCAGACTCCGTCTTGGGCCCTGCCCACTGTAAGTAGTGTTAGCTGCAGTTTTACCACCGTTATTGGCACTATTGTTTTTAATTCCTTCATTCAGTGAACAAATAAACCGTTCTAATAAATCTGTCCCAGAGCCAGGCCCTCCAAAGGCCAAATTAAAACCATTCTTGAGCAAAGATGGCAAAACTCCTTTCCCAAGGCCTTGTTGAACAGTAAGCAGTGGTATAATCTATCAATATTTCTTGGCTTTCATGCGTGAAGAAATCGTATTTACATTGTATTAAAATGACTCTTAAATTTGCACAATATTGTAATGTAGCAAATGTAGTATTAATATCGATCTGAGCAGCAGATAATTTATTTAGACAGGAGCATCTCATTTGTATGCAGGGTGGCCAGAGCCCTGGACTTGGACTGCCCCCCTTTTACTTTCAGTGCAAATGCAGGTCTGCTAGTGGGAGAGGGAGTTATTCTTTGCAAGAGGATAAAGTGCAAACCTTAAAACAAATGGAAGATTTATTGAATAGCCTCCTCGGTGTTTGAATGCATTTTATCTTAATAAGTCTTCTTGATGGAAACGTGTTTTTCAAAAGTGACAAAGAGCCTGGGAAGCAGCGACCAGACTGCTTTAGCTCTGGCAGGCTGGGGCCTGGCTCGCTCTCCACTACCCGACTCTTTAGCCAAATTCATCAGGAAGCAGGCCAGTGTCAGGAAAGCTGGGAGTTTTAAATCTTATCCAACGAGGAGTCTTGAAGCAGAAATGTGACTTGGAGCTGGACAGAGGTCTTCTCAAAAAAGGTCTCCCCTCCCTTTCCCTGGTCCCCACTGAGGTTCTTTGAACCCCCTTGACTTTTCTGATCTCATGCCTTTTCTCAGAGAGGCAAGGACTGTGCAGGGTGCAGAGAAGATTGTGGAATTATTAATGCTTTTCTTTCAACTTTCCATTCTGAAACACCCATGTGAAAAGTGTTCCTTTAAAAAAAGTTTTCCCAAAGTACTTGCCTGAACCAAGTCTTCAGGGTGCAAGGGGTGTCTAGAAGTGAACAATAACATTATTTTGTTGGAAAATTGCAAGCAGAATATCTGAAAATGGAAATAGAGCTGTCAGTAGTAATTCACCCCCCCTCCTCCCTACAACACATTTCCACTTTTGACTAAACTTGTTTTGATTGCTAGCCAGAAGGGAATTCATGGGAAGCTTCTCAAAGTCATCCAACTTTTAAGCAAACTTTGAATGATGGAAAAGACAGTTTTAGACATATTGTCCAATGTGGTTTGCTCTTGCTAAGTATTTGAAGCTGGCACAGGGGTCCCCTGTGGTGGTTTTCACATTTGGCCTCCGGATGGTATGTTTAATCCTTAATATTCTGGACTGCATCCAAGGATTAGGTCGTGACCTGAACTTACTTTTTAAAAAAAAATTCATTATTTCATACACCTAAATATTCCTTCAAATAAATGAGACTCTCCCTGAAAGGAGCCATCTAGTTAACATAAATACAATAAATCCATTTTCAGCGCAATAATAACTTTGACTTCTAGTTATGGCAGCTGATTACATCTATATTTCCTGAACACTAAACTCTTCTGAATGCACAACATGAAATACATTCTCCACACTACAAAGGCTAAGCCGGGAGGGCCTGAGCAGTAATGGTTATTTATTTACATAATTTCTTTTCTATACACTGTAGAAGAAATACTGAAGGTTCCCACATTGACACTACTGTATAATAAAAAGTGGGACACGGATTTTGCACATTCTGCCGTCTTTTTCTTATCTGGAGTATAACTCATGGAGTGCAAATATGTACTGCGGTACACCCCTTGCTCACCTAGCTCTGCCACCACAACCACCCAATACTGTCTTCCAAAGCTGGGGAAATCCTGTTGCAGTGAGAGAGTATGCCAGGCCAGAACAAGCTCCTAATGGAGGAAGGCCACAGGGCTGGCCGCCTGGTACCTGACAGCCTGGCCCAGCTATAGGCATTCCTCCTCCAAAGGAGGAAAGAAAATGGAAGTAGCCAGCACAGGGCCCAAGGATACCTTTTGTGGACTCCCCTCCCTTGGAGCGGCCTAGCTAGGAGGGGGGTAGTGAACTTGCACTCTGATAGCCCTAATCATAAATACCAGATACATATTCTACTGAGCTGAAGGGGATGCCATCTGGGTCTTATGGATCCTTTTCATATTTTATTCTCGGGACTGAAAGGGATCCTGTGGCACAATGGGAAGATCATGTAAAGCAAGAGATATGTAAATATGGGTCTGCATGGTGGCCATTCAGTAGGGCCAGGTTAGCAGCAGGGCCAAGGGCGGACCTGAGGGTCTTTTCTAAGCAGAGAAACCCCAAAGAGCTCCTATCTTGCTCCTGCTAGCCGTAAAACCACTGGCTTCCTAAAACAGGCCAGTGTGGATGCGCCCCAGTGGCTGGCTAGAGTAATTAGACATCTGAGAGGAACCCAGTCTGGATCCAGGGTCAAAGGGGACCTTCTCTCAGAAGTTCTTGAATTATCTCTAGTTTTATTTGTATTTTTGCTCAAGGCCATAGCCTTGTAGATGAAGGTGTTAGAATGCTTTGTAAATCCCAGTTCTTGAAATATAAAGAGGTAAAGCTCAGCAACTCAGCACACACAGGTTTCCCTTTGAATCATTTGTTGTGTCTTCTTAGGGTCACACTTACCCATTCAGAATTATACAGTGTCCTTTTGGGAGCATTACCTTCATGAATTTCTCCCCAGACCTATATATTAGCAAACTCCGCCTTTGATCTCCAGTCAACCTGCTGACTGGCTAAGGGCTCCTCTGTGATCCTCCTGTTTTTTAAATATTTATTATTAATATAAGAAACAACAGGGGCATTTGAACTAGGAGAGGAAGCCTTCATTCTATCCCTCTGATTCCACCCTCCCCTTCATTTGCCTGCCTCTAGTTAGTTGATATAATATGTTGTCTTGAAGTACTTTTAGAAGACCATGAAGGGCCTTGGTTCATGTGAGATAAATACAGTTTCGAGATGTCATCCTTATGTGGAGGTGCCTTTTTCTCCCTGGCTCCTGCCAGAAGAAGGCTCTCATATCCCCCCACCTACCTCCCCCGCCCCCAGCTCTGAAGCAGCAGCAGCAGCTGCCTCTTGCCCAGCTTTGTGTCTGATCGTTGAAGATGTTTCCTTTCCGCAGCCTGGAGTAACTGAGCCATATTCCTCCTGATCATTATACAGCTTACAGAGATGTGACCAATTTTCAATTACTTGATCTGAGGCACAGATAGAAGTGTACACCCTCACTGAGGATTTGCCGCAGAGTCCTTGCTTGCATAGATAGTGGATCTCAAATCCTATCTTGCTAAAACATGGGCTTGATCTGATTCCAGGCACTGCCAGCCCAGGATTCCTTATCCCCTCCCATGTGTTTTTTCACTCTACAATCTAAGTTCTCCTCGAGGTTTGCCGTTGGAGTCCTTTGGGCTTGAGAGGGGACTCCAAGAAGCCTTGAGTCACCTCTAGGCTGCACGTTTCTTTAGGGCTCCTGAACACCTGGAAATGAGGGGAAAGGGGGTAAAAGTCCTCCCTTTAATGAGCACAGCCAGAAGGATGCTCCCCTGCAGGGTGAGGACAGGTTGCTCTGCACAGCAAACATGGCTCCAGCATTGTACATTATTTAATCCAAAGGTGAAAGAGGAAAAACAAAGGGACTAGAGAGGTTGCTGTGTTTACGTGCATGTGCTTCTCTCTCCAGCTCCCCTAGGCTTGGTGAGGGTTTGATATATTTTTATTTGTATTGGGACTGGGGGAAAGGAATGGTGAAGAAGGGATTGGGGAGGGATACAAGGAAAGATTTTTTCTTTTATTTCCTTTTTTTTTTTTTGTTTTTGGTGGCTTGTTGTTTGGCCTCTCCTGGTCGCTGACCTAACTGTGTGCCCCCTCCTTCATCTCTCGCTCCGTGGCTGCTCGGGCAGACGCCTGTGGCCTGTCGGATGCCGCCCACATCGAAAGCCTGCAGGAGAAGTCGCAGTGCGCCCTGGAGGAGTATGTGAGGAGCCAGTACCCCAACCAGCCGAGCCGCTTCGGCAAACTGCTGCTGCGACTGCCCTCGCTGCGCACCGTGTCCTCCTCCGTCATCGAGCAGCTCTTCTTCGTCCGTTTGGTAGGTAAAACCCCCATCGAAACTCTCATCCGCGATATGTTACTGTCTGGGAGCAGCTTCAACTGGCCTTACATGTCCATCCAGTGCTCCTAGACCTCGGGCGCTTCCCACCTGCCCCCGCCTCCCTAGAGACTCAGACGACCAGCCCTGGCCAAAGACTCCAAAGCCGGGCCAAAGACTCCAAAGCCGCGGGGACGCCCGGTCGGCTGACACGGGTGCGGAGGGCTGGGCAGGCCGGGCGGGGGCGGGGGCAGGAGGAGGTCTGGGACAGGAGCAGCCCACCCTGCAGAAATTCAACCCGAGCAGCAAACCAGGAGAAAAAACAGACTCGTTTAGGATCAGATCTGTGAGCACGTTGGAAAGGGAAAAAAAGGATCTTGTGTCTGGTGAGAAAAAGAAAAAAAAATTTGGAAGAGAGGACCGTGAAAATTTTAATAAAACAGAAGGAGACTAATGGACCTTCCAGGATTTATTGTGGACGGATGTGGATATATTCTGTACAGAAAACCACACACGGAAATGGACTGAATCCTATGTAGAAACACACACACCCACTCACCCCGAACATTGTTATTCATTTTGTAAAATATTAGTCTTTATTTTCATTTTTTGTAAAATTTAAACATCGTATGCGCATAAAGGAAAAAAGGAAACAAGAATTAGGGGAAAATAACATTTTCCGAATAATTATAAAAAATTGTCCTGTGTCTATGTATCTATATCTGTTTTGTATTTTTTTCTGGTTCCAAACCAGATTTCCTGTGATTCTATACTAATAATTTTTGATATAACCCTTTGCTTCTTATAATGAGTGCGATATCTGTTGTCGAGGCTGTTCTTCAAGAATTAAAATTGAAGTGAAAATTTAAACAAAAATAAAAGAATTTAGCAAAAACCACGTGTCTGGTTGCTTGACAGATGTCATCAGTGCAAAAGAACCCCTCAATTGATTTCCACCTTAATTACCATTAGAAATGATTTTTTTTTTGGGGGGGGAGGGCTGAGATAAGGTCCATAGCCAAGTTGTCTGGGATTCATTTCCTCAAGTAAAGCCACTTGCCTTGGTTTTGTAAATGCAGAGGGCTAGGCTCTGCGTGGGCCAGGTTCAGCGGAGAGGCCAGGGAGCCGGGACATCAGACATCAGCCCATGGGACCTTGTGGGCTGTAGGCGCCCCGCGAGCAGCTGGGCCTGGGGCTGGGGCGGGCCGTGTCGTGCTCCAGGCCGAGTCTCCGCGCATCTATCTCAGGGGGCACTGCCTTCTTTAGTGACTAGGCTGCAGCACCAAGGCTGGCGACTGGCTGCAGGTGGGAACTTGCCATGGGGAGAGCAGAAGGGTCTCTCCGGCCTCTGCGTTGTGTACCCTTGGATATCTGCAGCTGGAGGGTCCAGCTTCCTAGCTCAGGGAGAGAGTTGGGCCCTCAGCGCTGCGAGCTGAAGAGCTGGCTATGGTTTGCCCTTCCTTTCAGGCTCTGTGATAGTGGTTCCCTGGAGGGCTCTTGAGCTCTGGTGGGTGGCTGGAAGTCCCCCCACACACACACACACCCGGAGCACTCAGGGGTGCAGACCCTGAACCTGGGAGTCGAGGAGCTGGCTTGGAGCCAGTTCTTCCCAGAAGTGGGATTTGGGCCCTAGTGGCCCTTTAAAGGCAGAAGCCTACCCCTGAGGCCGCTTGTTGGGTGCGCGTGGCGGGCAGCTCTCTGTAACAGCTTTTGGAGCATGAATGTTTTATAGGATTCGAGCCGGAGCTTCAAGAATACATACTGCCAAGGGAACTCTTTCTTAATGTATTAATAAAGCCAGATCTTATAAAATAACACCTCACCTCTGCCCCTCCCCAACCCCAGACAGGCCTGGATGAGGCAAGAGCTTCACTTTTAGAAGTCACTAGAATGTTTTGCTTTCAATTTGCTGTCTAGAAATCTCCAGGTTTTTTTATTCTTTAAAAAAAATGCGTTAACAAGCTCTTACACTCCAACCCGCTTGAGGTTTTTTAACATTCTGAGTTCAGCACAGCATGGGCAGTACCGTGCTCTGGATGGAGAAGCCCCTGCTGGTCCACTATTTATACTCGGGTTCGCCAGAGGCTGGGCTGGGCGGCTGGTCGGAGAGGGTGTAGGGTGCGCAGCCCCTCGGGCCGCCGGCCCCTCCGGCCCTCCAGCCTGTCCCACCCACTCCGCCCCGGGTCACAGCCTCTGCACCAGGCCCAGTGGCAACATCTTTGGGCCTAGGCTGACTTCCCTGCAAGTTGGGCAGCGGAGGTGGGAGGGGGGTGGGAGAGCTCATATTTATCCCCAGACCATCTCTCAGGAAGTCACAGAGAGCCTTCCCGCGGAGTGTGGGGATTGGGGTGGGATGGGCTGCAGCCCTGTACGCAGCGGGGGAGGGGCAGCCGAGCTACTTCGAAGCCCTCACCGATCTTTCCTGCCTTTCTTGAAATGAGATGTAAATATATTCATTACAGTGTGATCCCCCTCATGAAAACAGATAAACATTTTCGTAGGTCGGAAGTGTATTTTTCAATTACTTTCAATATGGAGGCCGAAGAACAGGGCGCCCATTGTAGAGACTCGCCCGGGAGCCGAGGCCCAAGACTTGTGAGGCGCTTGATCCTGAGCCAGTAGGTGGCAGGGGCAACTTGACTCTTGCCAGACGGTCCCAGACCGTCGCTCACGGCCTGAGGAATCTTGGAGACCTTTCTGAAACTAGGCCCAAGTCCGGAGCGGGGCCGCACAGTTTAGGAAAAAGAGCAGGCCTTCCTATGGCCTCATAGGCTCCCCGGCAGGCTCGGTCTAGGAGACAGTAGGCCTTAGGGCTGAGGGACAGGGGAAGTAAGGGGTGCTCAGCTCCTATGCTGGGCGGGCACGTCTGGGGGGTCCGGGCAGTGGGCTTTTCCTCTGTGGTGTCTCCTCGGTGGCTGGAGAGGTTCCTGACTGCGTTACACACAGACATATAGCCGTCTTTCCCCAGCCAGAGGTCTCTGTAGGTCTCATTTAGAGAGACAGAGAGCTAGAGCCTTCCAGGGACCGCGGGCTCAGGTGGCATCCCCGCCAGCCGGATAAGCTGAGTGCTTCCGGAGGCTGCAGGCGCTCCTGGCACGCGCCGTCGGGATCCGTGGATCCGCTAGCGCCAAGAGAAGGTTTAGGAAGCGAGACTGCTGCATCTAAGTAGTGGTTTGTGCCTTCCAACAACCGGGAAGCGTCCTCTCTGCTGTGGCCATCTAAAGGCTCCCCCGCCTTGGCTGACCAGTGGCCATATTCGAGGTGGGGAGCGCGGTGGAGGGGGGGGGGGTGGAGGGAGGATGAGGGCTGAGCAAGGTGGAGGGGCCGGCTCAGTAGTGCCCAGTTGCCCAGGCTGGGAATCAGAGAGTTTCTCTGCCTTCCCAGACTCTGAAAGACGCCTGGGCCCAGGGCCTGGGCAGGTGACGAGGTGGAGCAGGTGGGAGCCGGTTGTGCCTGGGTGGTGGCCCGGAGGCCCCTGCGCTAGGAGCCCGCCTTTGTACCGGGCGCCAGGGGGAGCCGGGGAACCTGGGTGCGAGGCCGCAGACAGGTGCAGGCCAGACGGTCGCTTAGGGCGCTTAGCCTCGCCTTGCCTGCCCTGGTTGTCCTTGCTCTAATGAGTCCAGAGGGAAGGGCTGGGCTAACTGGGCGGGCTAGTACCGACCGGGGCCCTAGGGCCAGAGGGTATACATTTTAACAGTTGTAGAGCGGCCCACACACGGTGACTTCCCTCTCGAAATTACCTGTGACACATGAAAGTCGTACATTCCCTTTTCTAACCCAAACACTTGCTGGGCGACTGAGAGCTTTAGGGACTTTGAAGTCGGTTAAATTACTTTAGCCAGAAGCTTTGCTAAAAGCATCTGAAAAACCATCTCCAGAGGGACGTTGGCTCCTCCGGGAATTACTTGGGACGAGGCTGCGCCTTATCCGCCAAGGGAGCAGGGAGGTCGGAGGACTAGCTTTGGTACAGGAGGGAAGGAAAATATGACCTTTGCCCCTCGCGTGCACATCCCAACCTGGGACTAGGCCCGGGGAATGGGGATATCGGTCCCTCCAGGCCACCAAGACAACCCAGGACTTCCGGGACTCTGCCCCTCCGGTTGGTCCAGGCTTGCCGCCTCTGGCAGCGACATCCCAGAGCCAAAGAGTCTTGGTGTGCTCCTGGAGGCCCCACCGCCGAGCTTTGCGCTCAGTGATTATGGGGCTCTGGAGCCCCTCGATCTCAGACCACCTGAACTTTTCCGCTTGGAACGTGCAAGGTTAACTTTAAAAAATCCTCCTTCTCCTCTTCCTCCACTTGTAGGTACTCTTTATACCTCCCACAGATGGCAGATTCGCCTACTGAAAGCTCCACGATTCCTCAGAACAAACCACCTGAATGTCTCTGCAAATGGGAGATCGTGAGGAGCGTGGGGAGGGAGTGAAGGGGGACACAAGTGGGAACTAATAAAACTCTTGTTAAAGGGCCTGCTCAGGATCCATGGCGTCACTGGGCCTTTTACGTGGGAAGCCAAAGAGTTGTATTCCTAAATGAGTTAAAGACCCATTTACCTCTGTCGTGTTCTATTCATCAAGCCACAAGTTGAGAGTTCCTAACATGAAACTTATTTGTTTGCTTACACAACCAGCTGGACGCAATTTCACGTCTGAGATATCTGTCTGAAAGCGCCTCTCATTTATTATCTCTCCTTGTCAGCGAATCCATTTTCCAGCTCTCCCTCCCCCTTTAGAGTTTATTTATTTATGGTGGGACTTCTCTGCCTGGGAGGACCTGGGGATGGAATGCTCCCCAGGGAGCGGCTGCCCCCTGCGCACGGGACCGGCTGCCTCCTGGGCGCGTGGACCAGGGGACAGCAGAGGCGCGCCCACGGGCCACGGCTGACCCCGGCTGGCGGGCGAGCCAGGGTGTGGAGCGGGCGGCGGGTGGGCCTGGCGGGACACTGCAGAGCTGCCTTTCTTCCTGGATGTCCCGGTTAGCGCTCCCTGTGTAAGCGGTAACCACCTGTGCAAGGGGCGGGGGTGGAGGGGGAAGGAGAGACCCGTTAGGCGAGTCCAGGGGCCTCTCTCCGAGATGGGGACCCGAGATACGGATTTGAGAGATGCTTTCACAAAACTTCACCTAGTCCCGTGGGGCCAATTTCTTCACCGGGGGCCGGAGCGCGGAGTGAGTAACCAAGATGTAAATAGTTGTGGGATGGGTTGGGGGAGGGGGGCAGAGCATTTATTGTGTGTGCGGAGGGGAGAAGGCTGCACGTGGTTTCAATTTTGACGCACAAAGAAATAACATGCAATGCAGAAAATAGGTTTATGAATGTAATTGAGAGGAAAAAAAAACAATTAACACGGTGTAAGGTTGCACACTCGGTTTTCCGCCCCTCGCCTTCCCCTCTACCCCAATTTTGAGAAATCCGGATCATGTGAATAGAGTGGGTCTAGGCAGTTGGATCCGGCTGACAGGGAACCCCTGATGGTGATCTCAGTGATGGCTGGATAATGGTGTCTATCCATCTCCTTGTCTGCTAAGGCCTCCTCCAACCGAGCTGAAAGCAAGCGATCAAATCCCAAAGTCCAGCGTATAAAATACCCCCAGTTGTAAAGAAGGAGCAGGGGTGTGTGGAGGGAAGGGAGACGGGGAAGAGAGAGAGATAGCGAGGGATTTCTTTAAGAAAGACCAGGCTGGTCTCCGCAAGCTATCTATTGTGTTGATTTAGGAAGACATTTGCTGTATATAACGTTTAAGGCTGATAATATCATTGCTCAGCCAGATAAATAAAGCGTTGGCCCAAGGGTGGGGTCAGCGATCGATCTCCGGACTCAGAGGAAAAAGGAAAGAGACGGGGGTCGTGCACGAAGCTCTGTCTGTGTGCTTGTCAGTCGGCTCGCGAGAGA